TCATTTGCAATAAATTTAGTTCCTTTAAATGTATTATCATCTTTGAAATAATTTGTTGGTTGAGCCATCTAGTTTTCCTCTGTCAGAAGTGGCCGTCTTAATACAACTTCTTCGAGGTCATATTTTTTCCAAAATTCGAAAAATTTTCTACATAACTTGGCAACCCCACACTAAAATGTTAAACTCGAGGGGTTGTACCGCTCAGCAGTAAAACATACACCTACTTAAATTATTTAAAATTACCTTGCTACTTACCAGTAATTTTCATAATTTTTTGGTATAATTTCGTAATTCCAGTAATTTTCGTAATTTGTAGACTTTTTCACATACTTATAAGAATTAATACACTGTACAATTCCGTTATAATTTTTAATAATGTATGTAATTTCATAACCTAATTATTTTCGAAAAAGGACATTTGTTTTAACAAGTAACTGCACCTATTTGCATACTTCTTTAAAAAGGTGAAAATATTAGATAGACAATTTTATTAGTTCGGAGGAATTATAAGAAAATTTATTTGAATCAGCTAAAATAACCTTACAATAAAGTAAAAAAATTACAAAAGCTAATAATAAATATTTAGGTAAAACATTGTGAGTGTAATTCGACGTTGCTTGGTGTATTAATCCACAGAGTAGTGAGTTTTCCACAATATTATATACCTATATGTACAGTGTGTTCCTGCATGGGGTACCGCACTCTTGTAAACTTTTTTACTGTTGATATTTTTATAAAAAGTTTTGCTTATCTTCAGAAGCATTGACAGTAATCAAATTTGTAATAAAACTGGCATCCAAAATATTTCAAATTGTGAAATTTTCCCTACACAGTGCCTTTAATTTTTGTTTTCATTAAAAACTACTTAACAAAGTTGTCTGGGAACTCAAGAAATGCTTAGATGTGGGATTTAGTAAAAAAGAAGGATAATCACATTTTGCAACAAAAAAGATGCCACAATTTTTAACTATCCTACATACCAAATAATTACTATTGATATTTCCTCAGCTATTTCCTTATTAATGTCAAAGTCAACATATTTATTTTTATTAACTGTCCAGAATAATTTTTATTAATAATGCTAACCCTGGAGCAACGAATCTATCTTACGGTGTTATGGAATCGGTGATGTTTCATATCGATGTGCAATACAAATTTTTGATGAAAAGTATCCAAATGTAATTGTAACTCGTACAGCAGATCGCGAGCTAATTATAAAATTCGATACCACTGGTGATGTAAAGAATATTGAAAAAATAAAAAAAGGAATACAATGATAACGATGTTGCTACGGTTGTAATTATAAACTCTGTACAAGACAATCCAGGAAAAAGCCAGAAGCCTAGATTAGTTGATCTCATATTCAAAAAATTTTAGAATGCTACAAAATATCTATTTAAACTAGTGTTTAATAATTATAAATTGCTTGATGGGAGATCATGGTCGTTGTTTGGACTTTTGTTTAACAATGGGTGAGAAATTGAAAACATATTCTGTTGGCGCGGTTTGCTCTCAAAATTGTAGATACTGGGCTAAAAATGTTTTAAAAAATAAATGTCTGGTGTGTCATAACGTATCGTAAAATAATTGGTCCTTACTTTTTGGAAGAAAATCTTAATCAAAATTCGTATTTGGAAATTCCCAATAATTTTGTTTTGGCATAACTAGATAGCGAAAATTTGAATTCAGAAGAAAACTAACATTTCAACACAACGGATGCCCTGCACGGTATGGACCAATATTTTGCCTTTCACGATCACCCGACTTGTCCTCATTAGATTATTTCGTAGGGCATACCTAAAGCTTACTTAAGCAAAAAATGGACAAGGAATTTATAAAGAGATTAGAAAAATGTGTATTACTTAAAGGTTTACAAATTGAATAGGACTTGCTTCATTGTTGGTGTTAATTTCAGTTCTAATTAAATTTAAAATAAAGGTTTACTTATTTTTTACAATTTCTATGCCGTCATACTTTATTATTTTCCCAATAAACTACTCTTCATCGTAAAATTTCACAATATTTTTGTTCGGTTACTTCTATCACTAATTTAGAAACACAATTTGTTTTATTAGTAAGATTTTTATTGTTATTTTCCCACACAAATTTTCACTCTGAACAAACTAGACTGTTTTTTCAACAGTACCTGTGGGTAAATGTAGGCAAAGCAACAGAAGTTAGTCCGTATCTCTACGATGTTTTCACGAAAACTGAATGAAATATTTTTAATCAGACCATTTTATTTAAATACTTGTGACACACCCCTCGGTTAAACTGTTTATATTGCCATATATAGAATTTTCTCGGAAACCCATATCTTTAAAAATATACAGGGTGTTCCATTTAAAAAATGTAATATATATGGCGTGTCCCGTTTTTACTCATCGCCCTGTATGTTTCAAATTAATTAGGTAGTTTCGGTTTCTTGATTCTCTACAACTTTTATATAAACTTTTTTTTCTGTATTTTGAGTAACAAGAGAGTTATTTTACTTTCTCATGGCCCACCCTGTATATAATTTTTGAGGAATAATCTTTCATTGATAATTGTGTCAACTTTTACTTCTAAAATCAGTGGTCAAAGTATCATCAGCCTGCGTCAAATGTAAAAGTAATTTTTTTGTAATTTCAACACCCCATATCTCAGAAATGAAGTGAACTACGACCCACATTGGTATAAAACTTTTTTTTAAATGATTTGGTTTAACTATCAAAGTATGCAATTTTTATTTATCTGTTACTGTTAGGTCCAAGTTCGATACTTTTGTTATTTTTTGTGTCAAAAATGTGGATAACAGCATGATGAAATTTAGCTTAATTCTATTAATGACCGCATAACATGAATGTTTTCTGATTTTACTTTTTTTTTAATTTCTCAGAATTATTCGTTAATAGATGTAAATGGGAATCGGTGGATTCACGGGGCAGTGGAAAATTTAAAACGTTATCTCTACACGATGCGGCACATTTTACGTGATAACGAACCAACTTTATAACTCTTACTATCTCACTGTGACATTATTACATAATTTATATCATTTTCATAAGTTTAAACTATCTTTATTGTTGGGTCACGACTTGGTGACATCACTGATATTTTTCATTCATAAATTTTGATAATTTCCGCTGTAATAGAGTAGGGTACTAAAGTGTGTGATAAAAATAAAAAAAAAAGTCTGTTCAAGCAAGTTTATTTTGTAAAACCTATGAGAAAAACCAATTGATTATGAGCCTAATAAGTTTCACTGTACATCTCGGTAAAAAATACGAAAATATGAAATAAGTACAAAATAACAGAGTATCGGCTTTACAGCACAACTAATTTTAGTAAGTTCGCAAATACTAGAAACTAACAGAATCAGATTAAAATATATTTTTTTACAAATGTTTACTTAGGGGCATTGCAATATACACAATATTATTTTATGCAAAAGTCCCCTAGGGCTCCATACAATTTTTATTACAATATTTTGCTTTTAGCAGCGTCACTAGACCCAGTAACACCGCTGATGGTCGTTAAGCTTAGAGAATTGCCCTGTTATATATTTACTATAACAAGAATTCAGTAAATAAAACGGGAATACATAATTTTTATTGTAAAAACTATTTCTATGTATTTGGTCAACAGCGAGGTTACATCACAGGTACGTTTAAATAGCAGAGTTTGCTCCCTCGTTTTTGTGCAATGTCCCACATTAGAATATATATAAATAATTCTCTCTAGGTTTCTAATTTGTCGCATTCCACAAAAACGGGGTGTATATATAGGCCTATTTAACCGGCGGTTCACCGAAATTTTTTTGTTTTTATATTTTGCTATATTTTTTTTATTTATTTTTTATTTTATCAAAAGTATAAAATACTGTCAAATATTGAACACAACAATTCTCTTTATCTCACGACTACATCAATATGATGTTTTTTTTGTGCAGAGGAAGACTGAAGTATACACAATCATGCACAAATGTTTTAAAGGTAATTAAAACTAGTATAACTAAGAAAACGCATATTAATTATTAATCGGAGCATCCCAAAACCACTTGAAAAGTTATTAGAGTATGTTTTAAGCAAGTTTTTACAAATAAAATAAAGCCATAACTTTTCAGAATCTTTTGGCGCTCCAAGAACACTACCCAACAACAAACGTAAACAGCTTCAACCACAGCAGGTCACCTAAATTTCGTTTCTATCAGAAATTCACTTAACAATGTTTTGCAACAGTAAATCATCATAATTTGGATTTATATTCGATATTTTCGAGGATATTTTAATTCGTTTTAACTGAAACACTTTGTCAATATGGTACCTACTTGATTAAAATGATGAAAACTGACGGATTTTATGTAAAATGTTATTTTTTACAATAACTCGATTGTCCAGTTTAAAATTGCATTTGCATCGTTTGTTTCTACCACCCTAATTGGTTATATACATATTAAAGTTCAACTATTACACTAAAGTATTTAAATAAAGTTTAAGTTGAAGTCGGTATTAGGGTAGCCCAAAAAAAAACGATTTTTTTTTACGTGTCTTGTGAAAATATCTTAGTTTATCATGTTTTAAGAGCCCCCTCAAAAAATCAGCTCAAAAAAAATTTTTTTAGAGGTCGCTCAAGATTTTTAAAAATCTCCAAAATGGTCAAAAATTGAATTTTTTAAAATTTTTTTTTCTCATTATTCTATCATTTTCTAGGTTGCAAAAAAATCTCGATTCTGAAAATTTCAAATCGATATTTTAATTTCTAAAGGACACTCATAATTATTTTAACTTTCAAAGTAGTGTACCTAAAATGTTTTCTGGCGACCTCTAAAAATAAATATCAACAAACCAATAATTTTTTATTGAATTTGATGAACAAAAGAATAGAAATAAATCACGAGACACTTAAAAAATTTCTGGAGGCAAAATTTACTATCACACTGTGAGTATCAAATATTTATAATTTTTTAAAATTTAGACCTAGAAAATGATAAAATGAGAAAAACAAATTTTTTTGTTGAGTTGATTTTTTGAAGGGGCTCTTAAAACATGATAAACTAACATATTTTCACAAGACACGAAAAAAAATATTCGTTTTTTTGGGCGCCACCCTAATATACATTTAGTCTGTAAAAAAAAATTAAAAAAATTGGCCAAATACCTTGTATTCAAGTTAATCCATGTTCCAAATATTGTTAAGATACTACTTATTTCTTGAAAAATTATCCCCTTAGGTGGCCTTTCCAAAAAAAAAAAACATTATTCCAAATACGTAAACATAACAATTTAACAAAATGTATAACTACATAATAAAAGAAAATCTACAATTATATTAGTTTGGGTGTAACTTGACAATTTAAAAATATCTAAGGATAAAAAGCATCTAAAATGCATCGTAGTATTTATTATGCTACTCATTTTAAATTATAGTTTAGTAAAATATTGTATCCGCTATATATTCTCAAATTGAATAAATATTACCCACTTCATAATATTCAACCCTAAAACTGATTGTATGAAATTAACTGTAATTCTGTTTTCTCTCAAAAGAAAGTGAAAAACATAAAATTATAAACGGATTAGTTTAGGGTTTTCAAAATTTAAACCAACATGTTTTCTTCAATTATTTTATAACAAAATAAAAAAATGTATAATGGGTAGTTTAGTATAGACATTTGTACAAAGTAAAGTACCAGATACAACTCTGATAAAATTATAAAAATATGTCTTAATTTACAGTTTCACACGTTAAAAATGGTACGATGAAAAACTATGCTATCAAAACTAACAATGTACAAAACTTACGTAACTAAACACAAATAACAATAGAACATATAAGAACAAAACATTATTGCTTATGTTTTAAATACTCAATGTTTTTTTTATTTTTTTCTTAAATTTAAATTATTTAAAAATTCTTAGAACACAAAAACAAAATTGAATCAACAGAATGAGAACAAAAATTATACTCGTATGCAGGTTATCACATTATTTTTATCACCAAATTATAATAAAACATCTGAAGTGTTTGACAGCATAAATTAAAAAAAATTCTTTAAAAACCTGTTAAAAAAAACAAAAAATTAAGAATTACTCTACCCCTAAAAACTCAAGAAATCACAGTATAATTATTTATGTACCTATATGAATTACCAATTCAAATTATTTTTCAAGACGTGGGTGTTCTCTTACTAAATGTATAATTGAAATAAACCAAAAATTAGACGATCTAATACTCATATGATTTATCGCGCGGCTGCTAAACTTCTTCTAAGCTGAGATACTCGTCTCCTTAGCTGTTCCTGTTCTCGTCTTAATTCATTGAGCTGGTTATTATAATCAACGGAAGTATTCCCAAGCTGATAACAATATTTGGAGGCCTCTCTAAGAATAACTACCTTTGCGGCCTTTTCCTTTTTGCTCACCTCCGGTATGAGTAACCTCAGGTCCTCGAAAGCATTGCGTAGATCAATTCTTCTTTGTCTTTCCATGTTATTATGCAAGCTTCGTTTCTCCGAAGGTTCTGCTTCGCTATCACTACTATTACCCAAAGTTGAACGTCTTTTATACGGTGAATTGTTTGATGTTCTGTATTGTCGAGTTCTCTTAACGACTCGAGATTCTGGCAGTTTTCTCTTCGTCTGAGCATTATTTTCTGTGCTTGTCTTTCGAATTGGTAGAATAGTTTTTATGCCGTTTATTCTGTTTTTGCTTATTGCTGTGGCCATTCGTCTTTGGATCTGTTGACGATCACGTACGCTTGGGTTTGTGGGGAGAGAACATATTCTGTTATTTATGGTTGACTTCTCCCCAGTCACTGACACGACATCGATTTCTTCCTCTGCAAAGAAAAAGGAAACTTAGTATTGTGAAGTACATCGCAAGTTATTTAATTTTGACAATATGGTTATTTTTAAATTTGCACAGATGTACTTTCTCATTTATTTGGAATTATTTTTTGTCTTCAAAAAAATATAACATTTTCATAACATTTTTTATTTTTGCAATATAATTTAAAATGGGAAAATTTCATATTTTTCTTTTTATTGTACAGAATTTCCTCTACAAAGGAAATGATTAGAATTACAGTTGTTGATTTCATCCTTGGAATTCAACCTCTGCAATACTTATTTATTATCTACAGTGTCATCAGATCGTCTTAACTGTAGGCGTCAATTTTTAAGGTAAAATTTAGACATTTTGGTATAATTAAAAAGTAATTTTTGACATGTATTTTTTTTTACCTGAAAAAATTAAGTAGTGCCTGTCGGGAGCAAAAAAATATTATCTTTTTAGAAAAAGTACATTTTTAATATGATATACAGGGTGTATCGCATAAGAACCCAGAATATGGTGATTTAACGCAACTTATTTTTATACTAAGTTGTACCCCTCAACTCAAAAGTTATAGGCTTTGAAAGTGGGGTTTCAAATTAATTAACAAAAAAATTAATGTCTCAGTTATACTTGAACTTAGAAAACCCAAATTTGGTACACGGTGTGAGTGTACAAAGAGCATTAATCGACAGTAAACAGAGTTCAATTGAAGCATTGAAAGGGTTATAAGGGATGATGCACCATTAAAATATTTTTTTACCCATTGGCGGACTTAAAAAATTATTACTTACTATAGAGTTCAATTGAAGCATTTTAAAGGGTTAATAAGGGATGATGCACCATCAAAATGTGACAGAATTTTTTAACCCGTTGGCGGACTTATTTTATTTTATGGGGAATTTAATTCTAAAACCTTTCTTACTCTTGTTAGTTTTCAAAAAACTGTCGTTATCAACAAAAACACGAATAACTAATAAAATACGTATTGTTGTTGTTATTTAAAATCATCGAAAATTCAAAAGTTGGCTATGAATTTAAGTCTATTCTATTCAGCTGATTGTTTCTACTGAATGTATATTTATCCGTAATGTGATTCCACAATTCTTATCGAGACGAAACTGGCAAGGAATATACAAATTCTTTTAACGTTCCCCAACGAAAGAAGTCACATTTGTTGAGGTCTGGTATTATTCGTTATTCATGTTTTTGTTGAAGACGACAAAGGTTTTTGAAAACTAACAAGAGTAAGAAAACTTTTAAAATTAAATTCCCCATAAAATAAAGTAAGTCCGTCAACGGGTTAAAAAATTCTGTCACATTTTGATGGTGCATCATCCCTTATTAACCCTTTAAAATGCTTCAATTGAACTCTACTTACTGTCCGCTCAATCCTCTTGGTACCAAATTTGTTTTTTTTAAGTTCACGTATAGATGTTTTTTGAAATTTGAAACACCACTTTCAAAATACACCACTTGATAAATATCAAATTTGTAGAAAGTCAGCTAACTTTTATATTAATTTGATAATCATATAATTGTAAAAAACTAGTTTACAACAAATTTTGAGACAAATATTTATTCTAAATAATTTCTAATAAGAATAAAAATACAAGTAGTGTATTTTAGGTGCACATGGAAAAGATCAAAGTGGGCCGAAGAATTTTTCTTAGTAAAATTTTTTGGTATCTAATTTCAAGCTTACTTAATTTTTCAGAAATAGAAACATGATACTCATAACTTTTTAATCAAGTGGAATCGTTTCCTAAAATGTCACATTTTCGCATATTCTTTTTTATATTGACGCCAAAACGACTGGAGAACATCCTGTACATTTTAAAAAGGGTTTGGGTTTGCACAGGGTAATATTGAGTATTTAAGCATTTTAGATTTTCGTAGAAAATAAATGTATTTAAACCAGTACTTAACCATAAAAACTCATTTTTTTGTTGTAATGTAGTAGAAATAGTAATGGTATAAATTAATTATGGACGATACTGTATAATATTTTAATAACAACCGGAAATGCTAATTAATTATTTGTAATTTGTCATCTAGGTATTTATGAAGTAACATAACAAAAATTCGACGATAAAAATTTTTTTCGAATTGTCAATTGTTTGCAAGTTACAGCTTATCAAAGTTCAATTTTTTTTATTTTTATATTTAAATAACTTATTTAATTCATGTTCGATTAGTCTCTCATTTGGCACACCCTTAAGTAGATGAACCTCTATTGGACTAGTCAGAGGAAAGTTTCATTATGCGCAGCTAGAGGGCACTTTACCTAAAACTCAAAATTTGTTTAGTTCATAACTTTTTTTTCTTGCTAGACAGAAATTTAAATATTATTGAAAAGAGAAACAATATCAGAACAAATTATGTACTCTTACTTCAAGTCGACAAATGTAACCGTTTTACCAGGAAATCGCTATTAATGTGTTATCAAATCATCATAAAATTTTTGATAATTCTTTCTGTAATTAATCAAGTTGCCATGCTGCAAATAAATATCATTAGTTATTTTGGTGTTACGAATTGTAACAAAAATAATTTAAAGCAGGTATGTTTGATTTTTCACCATAATAATGTTTTTTCGGCTCTGTAAGTAATAACGTTGTGGAAAAATAAGCCGAGGATAATGAATTTACTAATAATATTTTATTTACTAACGAAGCTTGTTTTATAAGTGATGGTATTAAAGCATGGCAACTTGATTAATTGCAGAAAGAATTATCAAAAATTTTGATGTTTAATAACACTTTAATAGTGATTTCCTGCTAAACGGTTACATTTATCGACTCGTATTAAAAGTACATAATTTTTTCTGGTATTATTTTTCTTTTAATAATGTTTAAATTTCTGTACTGTCTAGCAAGAGAAAAAACTTATGAGCAAAACAAATTGAATTCTAGTTAAAGTGCCCTCTAGCGGCGCTTCATGAAAGTTTTCTCTGACTGGTCCAATAGAGCTTCATCTACTTAGTGGGTGTGCCAAATGAGAGACTAATCGAACTTGAATTAAATAAGTTATGTAAATAGAAAAATTAAAAAAAAATTGATCTTTGACAAGCTGTAACTTGCAAACAATTAATTGACAATTCGAAAAAAATTTTCATTACATATTAATCCATAGCCTCCAGGAGTTTCCTGACGGAGTTTCAGAACACCCTGTGTACAGTACGCGGCTATAGTACGCGCCAGTATGGAATAAATTCAGTAAAAACTAAACAAATTTTTTTTTGGAAAAAATCCTCGAACAGGTCGATTTTTAATTTATAAAATACATATTTTAGCATAAAAGGCGATTTTCAACCGTCATTTGTTTTTGAGTAATGACGTCATCGAAATTTTTTTTAAATAGTGCCCCTATTTTTTTTTTTGATTCTGAAAGATCGTTTCATTGTCGATCCGGCAGTATTAAAATGTTGTCATCTTACATAGGAAAGTTTTCGAGTGACGATTGAATGTTAGAAAACCCAAATCAATTAAAATAAAGCAAAAACGTTATCAAATTTAGTTTTTCGAAATGCCTGAAGTTTTTTATGGATCACGTAGGTGTAAATCTTTACAAAGTGTCACTGTTATACCGACTTTCTAAGTATTGTAAGCGATATAAAAATTATTGTTGAATTTAAAGTATTATGGCACATTCAACTGTCACACAAAGAATTGAAATTTTAATTCTTATCGGATGCGGGGATAAGACTAGAACGCAGCAGGAAGTTTGCGATTTATTTAATGAAAAACATAAATTTAGAGAAACTGGCAATGTTGTAGATATTCCAAAACCTGGACGTCCAAGCATTAGTGAAGATCACAAATAGAATATTTTGATAAGTATGGTAGGTAATCCTCATAATATTTCACGACTGTTGCATTAAACAATGAAATTAGTCAGACCACAGTGCTACGTATCCTGAGGCAGGAAAAATATCATCCCTACAAAATTCAACTTGTGCTGGAACTCAATGAAGACGATCCCGACCGCCGCTTATACTATTGTGAAAAAAATAGGGGGTTGCTATTTAAAAAAAATGTCGAAAACAAATGACGTTTAATAATCGCCTTTTATGCTAAAATATGTATTTTTGAAATTAAAAATCGACCTGTTCAAGGATTTTTCCCAAAAAAAAATTGTTTCGTTTTTACTGAATTTATTCCATACTTTAGGCACGTACTGTATTCGTGTTTAAAGAAATTCAGTTAATTTAATTTTAACCAAAGTAGGTATCTAGACTCGGAAAATTGTATAAAAACGACTACGCTTCATTAAAAAAAAATCCATATAGCTTATATATTTGCTCAACTGAAAATAAAAATACGCACTGTATAGAATCGTACCTAAGCGACAGGAATAAAACTGTACCGCAAGAGCGAGAGAGCCTGCGTCCGTAAAAATTTGCGCGATCTCAAGGAAAGTTTGTCGACCGGGACAGGCGAATGCTAAATCGTCTTGGTTATCTCGCCACTATTACAATTTAACTAGTTATATCATGACAATGAAGAATAGCAATTCGGGGCCGGTTGTACAAGCACATGATAGGATATTAAATGAACTTAGAGCCGTAACGGGGGACTTATCACACAAAAAATCCGTTACACTTTGGAATGTGAAAGGCGAGTCGTTGGCGGTTCCAGTTCTCGAGCTGCATTCCATCGATTCAAAAACCAATTAAAGCATATCGAAATAGTTTAATCAAATGAAAGAAATTTGTTGAACTAGTTCGGATGTCAGTTCTCGTGTAGAACCAGATGTGAGAGGGTGGGCAAAACGAGCTTAATCCTTAAATGTTCATATCTATAATACACCTCTAAGCATTGTAGCGCAGGTAAACAGGATGCGGATTTTTTCGGCATATGCCAATGAACTGCGAAAGCCCAAGCACCATTGTAGTAGAATCCCCTAAGCTTTATCTTTTAAGTGAAATATTTACTTAGGGCGAAGGTATAACAGTTTTATTTACAGCTCTGTTCCAGGTAGTACGGGTACAAGTTTCAAAATAATTCCGGGAAGTAGATACCTGTTTTTTTGAATGAACAGGAATAACATCCAGGTACTGTTTAATTCAGTAAAATATTAAAACAAACTAGGTATAGTTAAATTGTTTGTCGCTCTCACGAAAGGTTAAAGCATGTTTTTTTTAAGTATGCAAAATTCTGTGTATCGAGAAAGCAAAATCGTTATTTTTTACTTCGTGGAAACGGGCAGATAAGCATTTCTTTTTGTGAGGTCACAGCTAACTGCCAACTCTCTAGCCTGGGCTACCCTAACAATGGACTTCCAAGAAGGACGGCTTTCGGTTCTCGTCAGGTAAAAAGTTTTAACGCGTTTCCGACCGACACGCTCTACTCTCTATATTATTTAAGATTTCAGTAGTGCGAACGGAGAACTTTGAAAACGACGAAATGAACAGAAGTTGCAAAACAGTTATAAGTTCTAAAAATTGGAAATTAATGTGACGAAAAATAGACGATTCAGTACAGACCGATGACGACACGCTTGTAGAATTATAGACCACCTCCAAGCTGAAATTAGAACGAGAACCTACATGGAACAACCTGAAAACCGGCACAAAAATATGTCAACGATCTCTGCAAGTTTTTCTCGTCTTGTTTGACGAACAGTTACATTTAGACTAACCTAAATATCTTATTCTAATTTTGGAAATAGGAAATGTCCCACACGAGCGCTCTTTCTTCCAGCGGATAAGAATGTGTCTTATCTCGATCGTCAATATTGGAAAAGGACTTAAGCGAGAGTACTTGGTCTAGATAAGATAAACGCATAATTAATGTAGGCCAAATTTTAAAATAAATCGTCATGTTTCGTTTTAAAATTCCCTCAATAAGATGTAATTATATTTTAACCTTGACTGGTACCCATTTACTTTTCACGTCTAGGAGAATATTTCGTAATTCCAAAACTTTCCGCGAAAAATATGTTTAGGAGTTGCATGCATTCAACTGCGCGTTTTGGAATTATTTATAAAACCAGCAGACGAAAATCATTGAATTATTTTTTCTCAGTCGTTACGGCTTGGTTTGGGGTGGCGCAGACGCGTCTCTTGACCCCGGAGCATTCCGTTGGACCCCCCTCGTCGGCCGATCACAGTCTGGCATCGTAGGTATTTTTCCCGCTGCCGAGGGTAGCGAGGGGGTTGAACCGATGGTGCCTTATTCGGCGTCGCGACGACCGCAGTATTTGGAAACCCGTCTCGTCTAGCCGGATCGCGCCATGCGTCGAGGTCATTTGCCGTTAAAATATATTTAGATGCGTATATTATTACCGCGTTCGCATTCACTTTCCTTTTCCACTTCCTCAATAAGCGCGCGACAGAGCGGGGGAGACTTCTTAATTGCCGGTCATTTGCCAATCATTTTATGTGTTCATTAATCTGTAATTTCCATTAAGGGACGTCATTCCCGGATGTGCGATCAGAAACATAGTTTTTAAATAACATAAACGTCGTTGGAATTTTTCTTTTTACGTGTATTAATGTTAAACTGAACCTACCACTATTAGATTAAAATACAAATATTCCTATATAGGCCAGGAAAAAGAACTGGGAAATGACCATTTCGCGACTTTTTGTTTCGGCAAGCTGAATTTATCACTATAGATGCTAAATATTATTTTTTTTTATTGGTACCCTATTTTGCTTATTTAAAGCACGCCCCAGTGTTTAAATCCAACTTTTAAAAACGCGCGTGTTTTAAAGTTACCATGGCAACATCAAGAACCCGAGAAACGTCAAGTCTAAATGTCATCTTTTTAATTATTGCTCTGACAGAAGTACCTTGTAACGTCAAATAAAATATTACTAACAAATGTTTCAAAAGCTTTATTCAAATATTATATTATTATTTAAATTATTATTTAAATGAATGTAAAAGGTGGAGTTGGTATTGTTTGAAATATTAATACTTCGGTTTTTTAAATCAGATGAAATGCTGCAAATTAATACATTTGACATTTTCTAAAGATAAGCAAGCACAACTCGTTCATCTGTATTTGTTACCTTTTGCTTTTCCATCCTTTGATGAACTTGTCGTATTCTTTTCTATAAGCGATTTTTGCGGGATTAATCGCGATTCTGCTTTACTATTTAAGTAATCAATGTTAGAAGTCATTTTTAAACAATATACAACTAGTAATAACTGTGGTAACAGCAATTAATCTTATGTGACAGTAGAGTTACAAATTAATTTTTGTTTTCTCGTTTTCACAGTATACTGATGTAACATTACAAATTCAACCATTTGGCATTATTAGTTCTTATTTCCATTTTTTGTAGTATTAATACAATATTTATGATTTCAACGCGTACCAATAAAAAAAATAGCGTAAAGTATTCGTGGATAACTGGTCTTTAAAACACGTGCTCGAAAAATCGCGCGTGTTTTAAAGACTTTAATATCCACTTATACTTTAATATACTAGTACAATAACATATTAGTTTCTAGTCATAAAAATGGGGGGTTACGGGGTGGTTAATTGTATAATTTTTACGTAAATTCACGTTTTCCGTTCATTTCCACGAGAAAATAGTAAAGTAACTTTTTTCTTCTTCAAAAAACCTACAAAACTAGCCCTCGAGCGTCAAAAAATATTGATTAGATCAAAAGTGATAAACTGAAGAAGTTTATTTATGACTTTTGAATTAAACATTTATAAACTGCGTTATTATTACCAGAACGTTTTGGCTTCGCATCCTCTCATTTCTTATCACTCTCTAATAACTCACACGAAATTTGGAATCGGTAAGTTGAATAGTTTACAAGTTATGGCCTTATAAACAAATTAACTAATTATTAGTTTAGACGATTGCGAGCATCTTCCACAATCGCACTGATTTTTTTCATGGTAGATTTCATAATAATACATTGAAATCTATATATTTTTTTAAATTTCAAATTTGCAACCTGGAAAGTTTTATTTTTTAGCCTTAGAATATTACATATTCGGAAAGCTTATGAAAAGAGCTTTAAGTTAAAAAAAATCGTCAAGATTCGTTGAAAAACAACGGAGGTACAGACAGAAAAAGTATTTTACTGTTTTCTCGTGGAACGAACGGAAAAAAAATATGAACTAAAAACGTGAATTTACGAAAAAGTTATACAATTAACCAGTCTGTAAACAATCTTCCTCCCATTTTTATGACTGTGGAAACTAATATGTTATTGTACATAATATTTAGCATCTATAGCGATAAATTCAACTTGCCGAAACAAAAAGTTGCGTCCAACTATATTTCCTGGCCTAATATACGTGGACGTTACCAGATATTCTTGAATCAAATTCGGACGAATTCGGCTTACTTATCTTTATCTGAAGTTACTTCATTAACCATTAGATGGTGCCAAAGTTGGCAAAAATAATTTAGTTTTCTCATTTAAATGAATACTCGGATATTAATCAGCCAAACATGACATTGTTGAAAAATGCTTTGTTTCCAGAGAAAAATGGACTTCAATTCATAATTTAGAGAATGAAAACGATTGAAGAGATGATTAAGTATTGTTTTATGTTACTGAACTTCACAAAGCATTATTTTGTTTTTATCAATATAGATTTGTATCAAAACTGTGTAGGTGATTGACAAAATAATTATGCGCAAACCGTTGAAAATATGAAAAATGAAAATACGAGAAAGAAAACACCTGTCTCGCTGCGCTGATGTAGCACACAAGTACTAGCGACAAAACGCTTTCAAATTATTGTGCGGTATAGATGGAAGCGGTTTTGCGGTTATGCTGAAATTGAACTCGCCCTCAAAAGTTCCTCCTTCACCAATCCAGCGGGTCTTCCAATGAAGCAGATACAGCGGGGCAGCGAGAACAGAACAATGGTGGGAGCGGGCTCTTTCAAGGAGCAGAAACAGCGGGGGGACACTTTTCGATAACTTTTCTTGACGTGTGGGTTTTTGTCCAATTTCAACAATTCAACTTTTTTTTGTTTATGACAACCGCGGATATTATATATTTTCATGCGCTCTAAACAATTATACATTAGGAAAAAATACATTTCTTTTTACCAATTTTAACATCCTCTAGCCGCTAAACAAAGTAACTTCGGAAAGATGTAAGTTTAATTCAATCATCATATTTTGATCTCAAGAATCTGGTAGATCCATGTACATTAAATATATAACACCCTGTGTGTATTAAACATAAACTAAATATATTTAACATCTTTTTTCAGATTCACTTTGGACGTTGTCTAAATTAAGATTTTCATCACAAGGAGGAAACCATACAAAATTTGCCGAAGGGAAAATGTATCGTCCTTCCCCAAAGGGTAAGAGGAACGCGCGAACAGGAAACAAACTACCCCGTGGAAAAATACATGCTTTACCGTGGCACCATTCCTCAGATTCCACAACTGATCCGTGTGGTGGGAACGCAATGGAACACCGACTGATTTAGGGCGAGCAAAAAAGAGGCAGGTTAGGCAACACGTGCAAGCGAGAAATGAAGATTTTCGGATTAGACAGGATGACGTAATAGTACATTAGTGAAGCCGGCTCTTAGACCAGCAGACGAACCAGACCCCAGCCCAGACCAGACCAGTCTCGGTAGACAACCGACTGAATGCCTACTTGCCCGATCTTTACAGGAAGGGAAATGCGAAACACGTGTATATATATTCAAAGCAACCTTGACACATTATATAAAAAGCGCGGGACTTCGTAACGTGCGTAGGAGACAATGGTGTGTAGATAAATATAATACTTAAATTACGTGTATCCATCCAGAAGTGGAGGTAGGACGAAAGTCATTTTATTAGATGTAGTAAGAAGTAAAAACTTGAGTTCGTCGTAACAAAAAGGTTAAAACCGCGTCTTCCAACATCTAAAAATGTCTAGATTTCCTGTACGCAAGCAACTTATTTACTCATGGAGTAAAAATAATACATAAGTGAATTTATAAATACATGTTATGCGATTAAATTTCCTGCATATATTCGGATGAGGTATCATATTATTCTGGTAAATTCTAGTGTTCTCAAAAAAAAAAAATGCATATACAGCCCTCTACTTTTTTTTACCATCAATCTTACAATTACAATTAATTACGGGGTTTCTTAACGTAATTGTATATTTAAAAGTAGGGGTTTCAAATTACTTGCGCGGTGATATCGGTCGTATGAAAATTAATTTTTTTATCGTGAAACAAGTCGATTAATAGATCCAATTTTTTTTAATTATTATATAAATAACCCACCGAGAGACTCTCATGGTCAACTGGTAGTAAAATTGTAATATGTCTGCGATTGTGTCGTATAATTTTCTATGTAAAACCTTGACATTACAAATTATATCAGAAATAGTTGGTTAACCACTGCCAAGTACATCCGGTATCAAATGATTTAGGAATCTGGACGTACAAGTTTTCAATATACCGTTAAATTATTTATGAATGAATTATAAAATTAATAGACATTTTCCAAAAATTACATACATTACAATACGACGACATTAAATAAAAATGTAAAGGTTTTTGTTTTATTAAATTCAATAACTGGTGTTTCTTCCCAATTCTTGCAATTGCCCTCTATATTTAAGGGAATAAATAAAAGCCTTTTTATAGAAAATCGAATTTTAAATGAACATTTACGCAAGGCATAAAATTATGTGAGTATCTAATTTCGTTTATTAACACACATTATTCCCACTTATATTATTCATAAAGTTCATCATTTTTACTTGAACCTGTATCCTTGAAAGCTACTTAGTCTCCAAGTGCTAAATTACGTTTTTTTCTGTCGGTTGTTCAACTTGTTAGTTACAAGGTGATAAATAAATACATTAGTTGGCCAACTTTTAGATAAACAAATTCGTATACCGAATATAGGCTGGAAAAAAGTAAAAGTGACAAAATAAATATTCATCGGTCGAGAACAATGGTCTTTCCTGTGGGCAGTATTTTTTTGTAATTATGTTAAATGGTGTCTGACCTTATTATTCGGATTCAGACTAAATTAATGCTAAAGTAACGAAATTTTTAAAATTATATATTATATAATTCCTTTCTTCTATTTTTTTTCCGATTACACAGTCACAAAAAAAAAGTTGTCTGTACTTTTCATGTGATATATGTTATCTGTAATATTTTTGCCTCCTGATCACGAATCCGGTGCCAGAATTGAGCTATCACATCACTGGAATTTTCTAACCTCAAAAAACAGATCAAAAATAGCATAAGTGCTAGGAAAAATAAAAAAAAAATTTTTTTCTGTCAAATGTTCATTTATATGGTTAAGACACCGCCGATCGTGAATCCGTGGTCAGAATTGATGGTTCTTTTTCTAACTTAAAAAAAAAACGGGTCAATTGAGGTCAGATATCCCGAATTTTCAAAACAACAGATTGGCGCCAAATTTGGTATACGGGGGTTTTCGGGGTGGCTGATCACGGATCCGAGGTCAAGTTTACAAAATTCAAGATGACGGATCCAAAATGGCCGAACAAATTTTCAAAAAACAACATTTGTGCCAAATTTGGTATACGGGGGTTTTCGGGTTCGCTGATTTATTATTATATTTTTACCAAATTTGGCGCGAATCTGTATTTTTTGAAAATTTGGTCGGCCATCTTGGGTCCGCCATCTTGAATTTTGCAAAATTGATCTCGGATCCGTGATCAGAGACCTGAAAATCATCGTATAGCAAATTTGGCGCGAATCTGTTATTTTTTGAAAATTCGTGACATCTGACCTTAATTGACCCGTTTTTATAGGTTAGAAAAAAAAACATTAATTCTGACCACGGATTCACGTTTGGCGGTGTCTTAACCATATAACATTTGATTATAGAAAAAAAAAATTTTGTATTTTTCCTAGCACTTTTTCGTGAATTTTTGCTATTTTTGACCTGTTTTTTGAGGTTAGGAAATTCCTGTGATGTGATAGCTCGATTCTGACACCGGATTCATGATCAGGAGGCAAAAATACTACAGATAACATATGTCGCGTGAAGAGTACAGGCAATTTTTTTTTGTGTGGCTGTGTTATCTTAGTGTATCCATCTATGTATACAAGCTTTCCAACGATTCCTTCATAAACTTGGCTACAATATCAAAAAAACATCGATACACGTCTTGCCGCACTGTGCCGCATTGCTAGTGGAGGAAACTCTCTTTTAACCTCTAACCTATCCCTTCCATAAACTCCATCCTGTGTCCGACTTAACGGCCTAAGTAGTGGGCGCCATGCCTATTTTAAAAATCTTATTACATTTCTTACTGTAACATCCAGCAATAATTATAACACTTATTTTTATATTTAGTCAGAATAAAAATATTCCATTAACCTAATCAAATTTATTGCTGTCCTCGAAACTAAAGATAAGGGTGTGATGGCTCGATCAATATTTATTATGCATCCAGTAAAGAGCCCGCAGTCAACACATTTAATGATTTAAGAACCTCGTTTATTTTGAACGAATTTTGTGCATCTTGGAACTCCATAAAATATGACATGACGTATGCCACCGTGTAGATAGTTTCAGTCGATGATAAAATTTAACCACTTTCTCATAAGAGGAAAGAGCAAGATAAGATAATTCTACGAAAACCAAACGATAACTGGTTGCGATAAGAGAGGTTAAAAAAAACAACAGGAAGTAGCCGATCTGAAAAATAATAGGCATTTCTTTTTTCTTACATAACAATAACCACACCGTTGAGGAAAGAAAGTAAAATGGTAGGTAAATTATGTATGGACTTGGCATGTAACAATGGAATGACCTATTTTAAAACGAATTGTAAATGAACTAAGCAGGCGAGAGAAGGCATTCCCCATTGAATTTTTTAGAAAGGTACCTACTATTCGCCCCTTTTGATCTATGTAGAATGTTTATAACAATAAGGGATGCTAAAACTGTAATGTGAGTTCGTTGACACTTTTTAGTGTGATATTTATGACTGCTATATATTTTCCCATGGTGAGGATTATCTGTCACTGTATAAAAATAATTTTAAAATAAATTAATAAAGGTAAGTAACCCCTTAAGATTACTTTTTCCAATAAAATATCTGCAAATAATACAGCATATTTTTTTGAAAAAATCAAAAAGAAAACGAAAACAATTAGACCGATCAAAATAACTCATTTAGAGGAAAAAAAAAGAAAATTGTTACCTGGACTTTTATAACTGGTAATGGTAAAGGGGCTTATAATAAACGAAAATAAATAAATAAATAAATAAATTCGTGAGCAGGGGCGGCGGAGGGTTAATTTGGAGGGTGGAAAATTTATGAAAAATTGTATCATTGGGATTTCTGGCGAAAGTTGACGTCAGACAAAAAAGTATCCAATACAAGTTGTAGATCATGCAAAAATCTACAACTTTCGTAGAGGTCATTATTTAACATAACCTCAAATTTTCCGTGAAAAATGCGAAAAACAGTTTTTTTTTCTGATATTTCGTTTTTAATTTCTCATTTCCGCAAAAATAATTTAATTTTGACGAAACTTGGTGAAAGTATACCTTTCTCTGTCTTAAATAACCTCAAATATTTTTAAAAAAAAAAATCAAAAAGTTTCTGAGATATTCATTTTTTTCGGCCTGAAACACTTTTTTCAAAGATAAATTCTACTTAAAAAAATCATCGTACAGAGTTCTGCCGGTAATCATTGTTTACGTTTTGACATATACTTTTTGGTGAAATAAAAAAATTGTAATCACAGTTCAAAAACATGCTCAAAAATGCAAAAAAGTAAAAAATTACTTGTAGCAATTAATATTTCAGTAATTGTTGATAATTTGTTTGTTAAAAAAAAAATAAAAAACTGATTCCACCATTCAATTGTACGGAAAAAATACAAAAAAAACTCTCATTGTTTCACCCAAAACTATTTTTGTACAGTATTGCTATAAACATAAGTCGAATAGTGAATAAATAAAATATTTTTTTTTTCCGTAGGATCGATTAGTGTACTTATTTTTTTGATGAATTCATATACAGTGTGTCCAAGATAAGAATGGGATAGGCATGAGGATCTAGGAAACGGTAAGAGATACGGAGTGGCTTAGATTAGAAGTTGTGTTTTCTTATACCTAACAATATACTGTTTAGAAAGTTTTAAAATTTCGGGTAGTTCCGGAGATATCCGGAAAAACTCGAAATTTTGCAAAATTATTTAATTTTTTCTACCTTTATTTGAAAACGAATTTTAAAATAAATTACATATTTACAATGCCACTTTTTTCGCTCTATACAATGGCGCCAACATTTTTGCAATCCGACGTTTCGTTTTTGAGGGGCCATCATCGAGTTAATTTTTTTAAATACGTCGCTGCTATTTTTATCACAAAATCTAGTCATTTTTAATTCTGAATTAGAGGATATTACTATTGTAATCGCTTAAAAAGTTTTTAGCTTGTTTTAGCTATAATTTAAAATTTTTCCTGAGTACGGCTCTGAACGCTTTCAAAATATCTATTGGATGAAGTCATAACAGTATAAAAGTCAATACCGCACAAAATATCCAACAGTTTTTTACTACTATTAGCAATACTAATTAGAAATAATAAAATATTTCATGAATTCGTATAATTTTTTTAGTTAGGTACAACTTTTTAAATTATGGATTAAAAAAATTTTTTGGATGTTTTGTGCTGTACCTATTGACTTTTATTCTCTCCTCTCTCTCTCGGATTTCGCGTCAACAGTAGACTTTGCAGTTAATTAATACTTTGTATTGCTGAAATCTCAAATCATCCAGAGATAATTTATCATTTGTGCATTTGTAATTCTACTTAGATGTTTATACCTAGCAATACTGTACAAAAATAAAGTTTTGGGTCAAACAATGAAACAGTTTTTTTTTTATTTTTTTCGTAGAATTGAATGGTGTATTCAGTTTTTGAATGATTTTTAATTTAAACAAATTGTCAACAATTACTGAAAAATTCATTGCTGCAAGTCATTTTTTACTTTTTTGCACTTTTGAGCATGTTTTTGAATTGTGATTACAAATTTTTTTATTTCCCCAAAAAGTATGACAAAGCGAAAAAAATTATTACCGGCAGAACTCTGTACGATGATTTTTTTTTTAAGTAGAATTTTTCTTTGAAAAAAAAAGTGTCGGGCCGAAAAAAATGAATATCTCAAATACTTCATTTTTTTTATCTAAAAAAATTTGAGGTAATTTAAGACAGAGAAAGGTATACTTTCACCAAGTTTCGTCAAAATGAAATTACTTTTGTGGAAATGAAAAATAAAAAACGAAAAATAAAAAAAAACAGTTTTTCGCATTTTTCTCGGAAATTTTGCGGTTATATTAAAAAGTGACCTCTACAAAAGTTGTATATTTTTGCATGATCTACAACATTTGTATTAGATACATTTTTGTTTGACGTCAACTTTCGCCAGAAACCCCAATGATACAATTTTTCATAACTTTTCAACCCCCCAAATCAACCCACCGCCGCCCCTGCTCACGCATTTATTTTTTTTAGGTTTATTATAAGCCCTTTTACCATTTCCACTTATAAAAGTCCAGGTAACAATTTTTTTTTCTCCAAGTTTAATTTGGTTGGACTAAATGGGAAAATTAAGGACTCGATAACGCGATTTGGCACACTCAACCGGTAGTAAAGCTTTTTTCGTTTCAGTTCAACGAAACTAATGCGAGACGAGGTGTATCTATTTTGTCCTGTCTTCTAAATTTGAAAGTAGTTAGTCGTTAATTGATTATGATAAATCGATAATTTCTAATGGCGTACGAACAAAAAAATTGGGCTGTATACATTAGACACGACTGAGTAGCTAAGCGGATAGTTTTAAATTTAATGTATACTAATTATTATTTGCGTGGTACGGATCTTCGATATTTCTTCTCATGTGACTCACGAATGATATAATCAATTATGAAATCTCTGTAGAAAGGAGTCTACGAAGTGGCTTAACAGAGGTAATTAATTATGAACTATTTTTGAGCTCCTTGAAGATGAATCGAGGAATTTCCAAAATCCAAACACCTGATATCGATAAATTCGTATAAACAACATTAATGAGAGTACGTAGGTACAAACGGGTACCAGTTC